ATATTCAGATTTTTACAAAAGATCTAATTTTTTTTCCCCTCAAAAACATATATGGGTTGGAAGGGGTTTGTGTAGGGGTGAAACTCTGGTTCAGATGGTGAAGGACCTGTTCACAGGGACCAGGTACGCACTCTGAGGTGCTCAAAGGAGGGGTTTATCTCCACTCTGGATGATCTAGGATCACCATCATCAATGACAACAAGAATAATAACAATCACTGAGATAGCAGCTACCCATGCCAGGCCCAACCCTTGAGAGCTTTACATGAATTAACTAATTTAATCCTCATAAACTGGGCTCAGCTCTCTAGGAATTTTTATCCACTAGAAACCTTGCATCCCAGGGTTCAGGAGGCTGAGGCAGGAGGATCGAAAGTTCAAAGCCAGCCCCAGCAAGTTAGTGAGGCCCTAAGCAACTCAGTGAGACCTGGTCTCAAAAATAAAATATAAAAAGGGCTGGGGATGTGACTCAGTGGTTAACTGCCCTGGGTTCAGTCCCTGGTACCAAAAATGCCCTAGTGTTGGCTGTTAGCTTTGAGTCATATATGACAGCAGTAGAGTCTCCTAGCCCTCACAGGACCCGTCTGGGGTCTGAATGCTGGTGAGGGGTGGGCTCAAACCGGATCCCTGCTCCCTACACTGTGGAACCTGACCTGATCCACAGAGAACATGCACTCCCGCCCCTACAAACTTGTGACCTCCAGCCAAGTACACAACCCCTCTCAGCGGACATGGTGGCGCATGCCTGTAATCCCCGCAACTCCAGAGGGGACGTCGCTCCTTGGTAAAGTGCCCTGGGTTCAGTCTCCAGCGATGCTAAAACAACAAAGATACACTGTCTCCCCAGAGCGGATGCTTTCTGATGGATTCATCTGCAGACCCATTTGGGGCTTGGAAATCATGATATTCCTGGAAACTGCTAGCTAATGGGGGTGGGAAGGAGAATCCCGGGAAGAAGAGGACAGCAGAGGAGACTAAGTGACAGGAAGGGACTGAAACTCCGCCTGAGATGCCTCCCAAAGCAGCAGGAGACAGAAACTGTCGCCCTGCTCCCCACTTCCCAGCCTGCTTCTCGGCCCTCTCAGCCTGCAGGCTGGCAGATGTGGGATGATACAAGTCCTGCCTAGGGGACTCACGGGCCACTTCTTTCTGGGGGCTTTCACCTCACAGCTAGACCAAGCTACCTGGTGCAGGAGAACTCACTGGGATGGGCCTCACCTCCACTGGTAAAATCTCCATTTGTTTGGAAGATCCTTTACCGTATCTTAATCCCATTCCTTTATCTAGAGGGTAATCATAAAACTAGAATTTTTATTTCCCTATTTACAAAACACTTTGGGGCTTATCTCAAGTAATCCACCCATTTCCAGTAAACCACCCATACTCAAGAATGCTAGGTGACCCGGACACAGCGGACACAGCAGACCCTGCCTGTTGGTCCAGCGGCTCCAGAGGCTGAGGCTGAGGCAGGAGGATCGTAAGTTCAAAGCATTTGGCAACTTAGTGAGGCCTTAAGCAACTCAGTGAGACCTTGTTTCTAAATAAAATACCAAAAGGGCTGGGGATGTGGCTCAGTGGTTAAGTACCCCAGGTTCAATTCCTAGTACCAAAAAGGAAAATTCTGGGTGAGCCTACCCATAATCCCAGATACTCTGGAGTCTGAGGCAGAAGGATCATGAATTTGAAGCCAGTCTCCACAATTTAGTGAGAGACCCTGTCTCAAAATTAAAATTTTAAAAATGGGCTGGGGATGTGGTTCAGTAGTGGAGTGCCCCTGGGCTCACTCCCAAGTACCACGATTTAAAAGAAAAAAAGGAAAAGAAAACCAGCTAAGGGTTCTAACACCTAGCTACCTCCCTGCTGTCCCCGTTTCTTTACAAAACCCAGAGACTATTAAAAAAAACAAAAGAAGTATCTCTCTGTTTCCACTTGAAGGATTGAAGGATCCTTCCTTCTTCTCTCCCTCTTTCTTTCTTTTGTAGTACTAGGGACTGAACCCTGGGTACTCTACGATTGAGCCACATCCCCAGCCCTTTTAATTTTTATTCTGAGACAGGGCCTCACTTAGTTGCTGAGACTGGCCTTGAATTTGTAGTCCTCCTGCCTCAGCCTCCCAGTTGCAAGGATTACCATGCCCAGTTTAGGATCTCTTTTAATATCAAAATTGTTCTGAGCTGGTCGCCGTAGCACATGCCTGTAATCCCAGCAGCTCGGGAGGATGAAGCAGGAAGATCGAATGTTCGAAACCAGTCTCAGCAAAAGAGAGGTATTCAGCAACTCAGTGAGACCCTGTCTCTAAATAAAATACAAAATAGGACTGAGGATGTGGCCCAGTGGTTGAGTGCCCCTGAGCTCAATCCCGGGTACCCATCCCCTCAAAAAAATTGTCCTGTGGTTCTGTCTGTCTTCTGTCTGGAGGGCAGGAACTGTCTGTGTGTCCTGGATTGTAATCTTTGGTTTGAGTGTTGCTACTGCCTTCTCCCGGTTGGTGGTTCATTTGGTGGAAGCTGGATTTGTTAAACAGTTCCTAATTTTCTGTTGTTATATTTACCAAGCTCCCATGATTTTCCTACTTAGAAAAATACCTCTTTATTGGAGGTCTAATATTATGACCTTATACCTTCTTATAAAGCTTTGAAGCAGGCATGGCGGTGCATGCCTGTAATCCCAACAGTTTTGAAGGCTGAGGCAGGAGGATGTCAAGTTCAAAGCCAGCCCCAGCAATTTAGTGAGGTCCTGATCAATTAGCAAGAGACCGTCTCAAAATAAAAATAAAAAGGGCTAGGGATAAGAGCCTCTGGATTCAATTAAAAAAAAAAAAAAAAGTCCTAGCACCCTCTGTGATGAGCTGCTGCTCCTGGCTCCAGCACCCTGGACTGCCCACTAAGTTGGCTAAGGTGCTGGGGTTGTTTCTGAGCTCTGGATCCTGCTTCCCTGGTCAGTTTCTTGTGCCAACATACCACCATAATCCAAAGACCTCTGCAAGGAGTTCCAAAATCTTCTGGGCAAATCGCCCCACTTCATGCTTCTCCGGAATGTTCTGGCTATTCTTGGGTCTTTGTTCTTCCGTACAAATTTTAGTCTCAGCCTGTTGAGTTTCTGGAACATTCCAGTCAGGATTTTGATTGAATTTGTGTTAAGTCTATAGCTCAATTTGGAGATACTTGAGATTGCTAACATTAGCAAGTCTTCCTAGCCAGGAACTGAAAATGTTTCACTATTTATTTTCTTCCCAAAGGTCTTCTATGTTTAAAAATAATCATCCTGTTCCAGGCACGGTAGGCGCATTCCAATAATCCCAGTGACTCTGGAGGCTGAGGCAGGAGGATTCAGCTCAAGGCCGGCTTCGGCAATTTAGTGAGACCCCCAACTCGAGGTAAAAACTAAAATGGGCTGGGAATGTGGCTCAGTGGTACTAGTCCTGGGTTCAATCCTCAGTATGGAGGGAAAAAATCCCTAGAAGCCTTTTATCTTTTCTTGCTATTATAAATGATATATACAATTTTGTGAGTTACGTGGCTAACCGCTTGTGGCTGGTGTATAGAAATGCACTTTTCTTCTTTCTCTAATAGGAACCCCTTCATGGACGTGCGCGTTGGCGTGGCCGCAGGGCGGTGCTAATCTCTGTATCCCTCCAACTTCAGGATCCATGCGCAGAGGCAGCTGGCGGTTTTTCTTACTGACTTTGTACCCGCTACTTTGCTGAACTCTCACTAATCTTGATTGTTTGCAGATGCTTTGGATTTCTTATGTAAATGATCATATCTGCTCTGAATAAGTGGCAGTTTTATTTCTTCTTTACCAACCATTATATTATTTACATCCTCTCCTTGCTTTATTGCCCTGGATACGATAGGGCAATAGTAATGATAAACACTCTTAATTCAAAAAAAAAAAAAAAAAAAAAAAACCTCTATTTTCTAAAGAGAAGGCATTGATTGAGGTACTAGGATTGACCTCAGGAGTGCTCTACGTCTGAGCTACTCCAGCCCTGTCTATTTTTTGGTACCAGGGACTGAACCCAGGGGTGCTTAACCAGTGAGTTAGATCCCCAATGCTTTTTTCATTTTCTACTTAGAGACGGTCCAAGTTGCTTAGGATATCCCTAAGTTGCTGAGGCTGACTTTGCATTTAGGATCCTCCTGCTTCAGCCTCCAGAGTCGCTGGGATTGCAGATGTGCACACCGCGCGTGGCCCTTTTTAAATTTTGAGTCTGGGTCTAGTAAAGTTGCCCTCGCTGCCCTCCAACGTGTGATCCTCCTGCCTTAGCCTCCCAAGTAGCTGGGGTTATGGGCGAGTGCCACCCTGTTCTCATCCTCTCAGTAGATTTAAACCACTTCTTTCTGTAGTTATTTCCAGTTTTGTAAAAATGAATACGAGTTTATAACGCCATGTTTAACTGGCGAATCGGACTTATCCCCCTGGACGCCCTTTTTCTTTTGGTGGTTGCTGCTTTTGCAATGGAGTCTCCCCGTATTGCCCCAGGCTGGCCTTCAACTCCTGGGCTCCAGAGATCCTTCCGCCCAGGCCTCCGTGCCGCGCTCTCTTTAACAACATATTTTTTTCCCATGAGAAATTCTTTTATTTGATGGTCATTATTATTTGTCTGGAGGATGTTTTATCCTTTACTTATAAACTTTTTAAAATTTTCTTGGTTTTATCTATGCTTCTTAAAATTATGCAGAACTCAGCGAGGCCCTGTCTCAAAACAAAAAAAAAAAAAAATTAAAAAGGGCTGAAGGTGTAGCACAGAGGTAGAGGCACCTCTGGGTTCAATCCCAAACAAAACAAAGAACAAAGAAAGTGAAGGAAAGAAAGAAAAGAAATGGAATGGAATCTAGGTGGAATCTGCGCAGGACCTCTGGGCGGAGGAGAGAGGGGCCTCCTGCACACTCCTGCCTTAGCGCCCCGGGAGGGGTCAGCGGTGCGAAGTACTTGCGATAAGAGTGAAATTATCTTGGTCAGTCAGGAAATTAATTAAGCCTCTTCCGAAACACTCACCAGTGCTGTCCTCCTCCCCAGTGCCAGTGCAGCTGGGCTCTCCGTTATCTCTGAAATCCGGGCTGGAGGTCACACCAGTTCTGCCCCGGTCTGCCCCACTGGGCTGGTTTCCAGGAATCCTGTTCCCACGGAGAGGACAGGGCTGCGGCTGGCTCTTGGGCTCCCCAGCTAAGACCTAGAGTGGGTTCCGGAGAAGGAGAATGGACCGGTTCTCTTGGACCTCAGCTCGGTCCTTGGCTCCTAAGAGTGGCCCACCTCCTCCCATCCCAAGGGCCTCCTTTCCCTCCTAGAGAGTGGAGCCATTTAAGCCCTTTCTAAAGCCCTTAGGTAAAATTTGCAACTCCCTTCCACCTTTCCCCCACAGTCCACCCTCTGCCTCTGACCTCTCCCCATCTGACCCCAACCCCAGCCTGGCCCAGTCCCCAGGGGACTCCTGGCCCCTTTCTGGTATATTACCTTTGCATCAGCAGTTTTTCTCTCTCAGAAATGTCATCTGCTGCTGAGGAGGGAACCCAGGTCCCTCTACCACCCAGCTGCTCCCGACCCCCCTTCTCCACTCTTGTCTGTGTGAGATGCCACTCGCTACCCAGGCACCTGAACAGGGAGCTCCGTCTCCCCCCTGCGCACTCACTTGGTCCTGGGGTGGGGACTGTTCCCTCACCCTCACTGTGGGCTCCATCTCGCCCGGCTCCCACAGTCCATCTCTAGCCTCCTGGCCAGGGTCCCTGCCCTAGCCTCTCCCCATCACCCACGTCCCCTTAAGTCCTGGCTGGATTATTCATGGGGGACACATGCTGAGTGAACAGCTGGAATAACTAAGTCCCTGGGCTGAACTTGGCGCTCAAGGTCGGCTGGTGTGGGACAGCGCAGGACAGCACAAATCGGGTCTGTTAACATGCCCTTGGTCACTGCAGTACCCAGGCCACCGGGGATGTGACAGAAAAGAGTGGGATCCGAGCCAGTGGTCTGAGCTCGAGCTGCCGTCTGCCAGCTGGTGACTGGGCTGCCATTGGGGGTCTTGTTCACCAAACCTCAGTTTTTCCATCTGTCAATCAGAGGGGTTGGGCTGGATGGCTTCTGGGAGGCCTTCTGTGGTCACAGGGCTGATCAGCGTGGGAGGCTAGAATTGTGCTGGGCTGTGGACCAGCGTCTCTGCATCCTCACCCAGGGCCCTCCTTGGGGACTGCATGGGAACATAGACAGTGGCAGCGTGTGTGCTTGAATGCAGATCCAAAGCCACCTGGCACAGCACCCTGTGAGCAGACAGGTGCACCATTTGTGCATTCGGTGACTATTTGCTGGGTACCTGCTGTGTGTCAAGCACAATTCTAGGCATGCCGGTGAGCAAAACAGCAACAAGTCCTTGCTCATCTCTGTGGTGCTCACAGTGGTGGGACGTGGCATATAACTATGGGACATAACATGCTTGCAGGTAATAAGTCCAGTGAAGAAGAGGAGACAGGAAAGGGAGAAAGGCAGGGACAGCCAGTAAGTACAGGGCAAGGGGGGTTGGGAACGCTGGGGACAGGCTGCCCACTGGTGCATCTGAAGGTTCCATGCCCTGAGCCTAAGGCTGCCTGAGGCCACCAGAAGCCACCCAGCCTGCTGTACCTCAGTGCAGCAACCTCAAGAAACTCAGGCACACACCCCGTTGGCTGCATGGTTCTTGGGCTACAAAACCTGAAAGAGCCGAATGCAGTGGCACACGCCTGTAATCCCAGAGGCTCTGGAGGCTGAGGCAGGAGGATGGCAAGTTCAAAGCCAGCCCCAGCAAGTTAGCAAGGCCCTCAGCAACTGAGACTCTGTCTCAAAATAAAAAATAAAAAGGGCTGCGGATGTCGCTCAGTGGTTAAGTGCCCCTGGGTTCAATGGCCAGTACCAAAAAAA